ACTGCTTGAGCAAGTGTGGCCCAGACATGCTCGATGGGGTTCATATCAGATGTCTCACTTGGTCATGGGAGCTGTTGGATGCCTTTCTTAATTAAATGACTATTAAATAAACATCATGGTGTCTATTTACTTTTGAGATGTCTCTGTAAACTTCTTATAAAATATTCATTGAGTACATAAGATTTGATGACAACTGTTAAGGTCACCATACCTTGTTCATCATTTTTGGCACATTCTGAAAACAAGTCCTTAGAGCCAGCATTAAGCCTATCTCTGTGAAAATAGTGAGACTGGAAAAATCTGGTCCAAAACTCACTTTCAGACATCTTATAGGGAACATGTTCCAGATGTTTCATTTTCACTAGAGAAATTAATTGAAGAATGAAACCTTTGTCTACCAGAAAAAAGTCAATACTTTACCACCACAAAGTTTATGACTATAAGAGTACATTTAGATATCTTACAAACAAAATATTATGTAATAGAGTGTAATAGTTTAAATAAAGTTAAAATACCTAAATTGGGAGTAAAAATTCAGTAGTAATTTGTTGATTGTTTAATTTTGGTTTCTCTTGAAGAATCAAAAGGATCCCCTTCACCTGTAGCATAGCCTCATTTTCAGCTTTACTAATTACCTTGATTATTCGTGGGGACAAGACCACATCACATTCACTCCATGCATATTGAAAAATTTTTAAATTGTGCTTAATCCTGAGATTACAATGTTCTTTTGAATGATCTGACAGTCGAGCCAATGTATGTACCCTCACACACACTGGCCATCAGAATTCACAAATAACACGTGACTGTTGCTTTTGTGAGAACCAGAATCTGTCAAACTGAAAAACTGTGGTCTAAACAAACAAGGATATTTTGATGTTGGCTGTTATCAAAAACTAGCCTACACCAAAATAAACACACACACTTTGACAACTTTGTTCCACTTCATTTTAAAGAAAACCTTGTGAAATGTCTTGTCTCACAAACACAGAATGATCAGTGAGAGTTACTCAGTCTAAAATATGTTTTAAAACTTAACTCTTTAAGAAGCAAATTTATAGATTTTTTTCATCAATAAAATTGTTCAAGAAATTAAACACCCAAAACCAACAGAATCTATCCACAAGTTCACCTTCAATGTGTGTTTAGACCTCTATTGAGAATTAAACTTTTTTTTCAAGTTTAAAGATCGAATCAAGTGCTCTCAACACTCACTTCATTTATAATTTCTGCTGTCCAACGTGTAAGGATGCCTATGTCTGCTTAATTTTCATAAGAATGGGATATCATCTAAAAGAAGACTCTAATCCTAGGTTCAAGGACAGCTCAAGCATTTTTTTGACATGTGATAGTTAAATTTGATGTAGTTTCACCCACCAAAATGTTCAAAACAATCAATAAAGCTGAAAACAAGGCTAAACTACAAGTGAAGGAGATTTTTCAAAATAAATCAAAATTACATAATCAACCAAGAATTTTTACTCACAACTTAGGCATTAGAATAAAATGTATAATTTGTTCAAGGTAAATTTTCTACAAGACAAAAATGAAATTTAATATCTTTTATTTTATTTTGCAATGAATATTTTTCTAGAATTAAAAACAAACTGTAGTAAGAACACTGAAAATTTATTGAAATGTTAACAAGCAAGTCAGATACTACTCAGCTGCATAATGAACATCTTGAATTTTGTTTCAATTTCTCTCTAATGTTCACTGCACACATCCTATTACTAGACAAGATCAGCAGTTTTATAAAATTTTCAAAGGCCCATTGATTATATTTGCAATTTTATTAATAACCAAAAACAGTTGATCAGAAAGATCATAAAAGACATACCAGCAGGATATGTTTTGAATATTGATTCAATAATATCTGCCGTGATGTTGTATTTCAGACCATTACATCCATCTGTCTGAGGTTTTATGCCAGCTAGAAAAGCTGGGGAAACCCCAACACCTTGTTTCATAGTCTGCTTAACAGCAGCTTTTCTTTGCTATAAAAAACAGCAATAAATTCTTTGTATCAACATTTATATATAATCACATGTAGACATATATAGATAGGTACACTATCCTACCAAAAGTCATGGGACATACCTCTGACTGCAGGAAAATGAATGTGATGATGAAATATGCAAATAATGGCTGGAGACGGCTTGAATGGGTAATGAAGAAAAACTTTAATATAAGTTTAACATAACAAAACCTTGTCGAAACGTTGTACATTTGCTGTTATGTTAAACTTATATTAAAGTTTTTCTTCATTACCCATTCAAGCTGTCTCCAGCCATTATTAGTCTCAAAGTGGGTTCCTCGTCATCAAATATGCAAATAGTTTGGTCTATAAGGGTGATCAGTAGTTTGCTCGGAAGTCATTTTGAACTTGTACGCCAAACGATAAGTACTCGGAAACGGCTAACAGAGTTTCGGAGAGGAAGGATAGTTGGATGTCATTTGGGGAAAATGTCTTTACATGCTATTGCACAACAATTAAACATTCCCAGGTCAACAACTGGAAACATGTTGAAGAAATGGAAGTCCATAGGTGACAATGAGCCCGAGAAACAACCAGGTAGGCATAAAATACTGACTGACAGGAGCCGATACACCTTGAGAAGGCTGGTTACCTCATTTTGCCATCAGATGTTAGAGAATCGGTTTTTGGAGATGCGAGCAGCCACAGGTAATCCTATAAATGTTTCCATGATACATCAAGAGCTGCATGTTATGAAGTTTCATGGAAGAGCTGCAGCCCACAAGCCATTGATAAATGCACACTGTTGACTGGCATGGGGCAAGACACACCAAACCTGGACCATGGATCAATGGGAATTGGTCCCGTGGAGTGACGAGTCACACTACACGCTCTTCCAGACTGATGTGGTTGGGTAGGGAGGATGCTTGGAGAACTCTTTATTATCCGAGTGTGTTTTCCCAACAGTGAAGTTTGGATGTGGTGGTATCATGGTATGGGGTGCTTCTCATATATGGACTAGTTCCACTGGTCACTGTGCATGGATCCATGAATGCTGAGTCCTACACTGATGTTCTGAACAATTCTGTGTGTCCTACGTTGTGGCAACTTTATGGACTGGCCCTTACACATTCCAATATGATAATGCTCCATGTCACAAAGCAAGGATTGTGAACACGTGGTTTGAAGAGAATAACATCGGAAAATTGCAGTAGCCAGCACAGAGTTCTGACCTCAGTCTGATAGAACATCTTTGGGATGAACTGGAACACATAATTAGGACAAGGCCAAGATGGCCCTCCTCAGTAATGGAGCTTACTAATGCTTTATAGTAGGAGAGGAGCACAATACCACCAGCTTTCTATCAGAAATTAGTAGACAGTCTTCCACGATGCATTGAAGCAGTTATTAAGGCCATAATAATATCTTGGAATAAAGACATGTTTTATTCATAACTACCCATGTCCCATGATTTTTGGTAGGATAGTGTAGATTCAAATAGATGATATTATGCTCAGGGGCAGATAAATGATTTTGAAAAGGAAAAGTACAACTTTTGGATCAGAATATAGATTTAATGACAAAGTCTAGTTGTTAATGATACACATAAAGTAACAGTTTAACTTGTAAAATAAATATATCATTATTGTTTTCAAATAATATTAATAACAAGAGATATAATATCCCAATTTTCATTAATAGTATAAAATAATTACTTGAGTAATAATGGCTCTATACTTTTAAATATATTTTTTTTTTGGTCTGGGAAATGGGAGATCCTGATCTTCTGGACCCTTCCACATGCACCTTTAATGCTGTGCCTCGGACTTGAACACAGGTGACCAGTGACCTGAGATTGATGCTCTGCCAGATATATGAGCATAACTTGAAAAGCCTCAAGTATACAGTTCCTTATTTACATTATCACAGTATGTATAAAAAAAGATCTCCATGCTACTGTTAGAAATTATATGAAATGCTTTACACATTCATGAAAGATGAAACAATTTCAATTCTACAAGATATTCAGACTTTCAAGTGATTGAGAGTACTGAAAAAATACATAATAGTTTTTGGTTGTTATTAATGTTATATAAATATATATAAATTTATAGTAAACCAAGTTAAATTGTGCACATTTTTAAAATCTGGTTCAAATTATGAAATTAATAGAATATGGATTAACATTATTGCTTAGTTTCACAAAATAATGACTTGTCTACAGATATTAATAAACAAACTACATGTTTATGATAGCCTGATCCTAAAGGTAGCTTACTAGTCAAATGTTAAAAACTGAATGAAATAACATCATTATGGTATAGTACATGTTCCTTTGCTTTTGAGGTAGACGCATGAAATAGCATAGTTTCCTTTTTCTAAACTGTTTGTATTTAAAAACACAATAGAAATGTATATTTTATATACTTACAGCAGCATGGTTGGCCCAAAATTCTTCTGGAGTAATAACCTGACTGACAACTAGGTCTCTATATAACTGGAAAAGCTGGGGATCTTCTTGTAGCATTCTAAATTAAATTTCAATATCACTTTCCTATACAAATCTATAAGTGTTTACAATCACAGATAAAAACAGTATAACATATTTTATCATTTAACAAACTTTAAATCTGGATATTGTGTCAAAAATTCTTTAAATGAATATATCAAATAACTCATTCTATTCTTAAAGTGTCACAGGTAATATAAATAAAACACTTGTAATCAAATTGGCCACATTTACATGGTTAAAATTGGATAGAGTAATACAAGAATAAGCTTGTGAAATCAGAAAACACTTAAACTTGAAAGGAGAAAAGTTTAAAGAATACTAAGCTTATGAATACCTACATTGTGATCCATTTTTTCATACAAAAACATTGACATTATAAGAGAAAACCTACTTACATGCTTTGTATAATTGATGTGAAAACATACTGAAAATTAGGGAATAAACAGCTTGTTAATACTTACCTGAGTGTGCATACTATATTAAAGAAAACAATTTCTACATATTTTGACAATATCAAAATCTGATGCAAATCATTTCTACTACATACTGATGCTTTACTTACCTGTTCTTTTCTTCCAATTCTTTATTAACTTTTCGCTTAAATTTAGGCAAGAGCTGTTGAAGGAGTTCTTTCACATCATTCCTCTCTGCCAGTTGAATTTCTACACCCATAGGGTTGATGAAGTGGAAAGTAGTGGTATCTCCATTGTGTAACACCACTTGCAGCTGGATTTTTGATTTTCCTTCTGGTGATATTTTTTGCACTAAAACAAAAAGAAAGGACAATTGGTATGCAAGTTCACTCAAATGCCAGCATTATATGATAAATGAAATAAAATGATTTAACTAGCAACTAACTTATGCCAACCTTTTGCTTTTTTTGTGTTGAAAACAAGTAATATTTTGCAATGTTTGAACTCATGAGCTTATGTTTTCTAATTCTTTAAAAACATTAAGTTAGAAGACAAAATGACATGAAAATACATACTTTTTATAATTCTAATGACTTTTAACACAATCATTTCACTTCCATCATATTCACAAGTGCTTACACTGTAAAAACTGTATCATACCATTAGGATATTTTTTATGATTTTTTTAGGAGAAATAAACATAATGAAACTTAATAAACTCTGATGGAATTCAATGTTCCCTCTAAGCTGTGCACATGAGTGGCTGCACAGCTTCTGGCATGTACTGTGCATCGAAAACAATAGGCCACTCACAAATTAGTCACTTGGTAATAGTTCTGTGTGGAAGACAGAGGCATACAATTTGAATAATACTACATCTAAACATAATGCAGGTGTACAAGCACCAAAAGCTATTAAAAATATAAGTGCTGGACAGAAACTTAATGCTCAGAGGAGTTTATAGTCTGTTCAGTACAAAGAAAAATTAGAGGAAACACTGATGGAAGTTGATTTACTTTCCACCATTAATGCATATTGAATCTGATATAATGTTGTATTTTATCAGTGTTTATAGGCTTTCAATCAATGAAACACATTTGGCAATAAAAAAAAATATAAAGCTTATTTTAAAGGTTTTTGAATTTAAATAAATAAATATTACAAAATAATACAAATAAATAAATGTTGTACCATTTCATAAAACAGCAAGATGGTTCAAAACTTAAAGTGTACAAAGTTATTACTTTTGGTTAAAAAACATGTTTCTTACTAGTTCAACATTCTATCTGACATTATATCTCACTGTTCAGTTTTAAACTTAAATTTGTCTTTTCACTGTGTTACCTGAGTGTTTATATAAATATAAAAAAATTCACATTTTTATTGGGTTTCATTTTTTTTAATACTTATTCAGTACATGGATATACTTACTTTTAATGTCTGCATACATATGGCTCACACTGAATGTGTCTTTTCCTTCCAGCATCCATGCAATTCGTTCAGCCATCAGATACAGAGTGCCATCACTTTTCTTGTGACGGACGTGATTTACCATCAGCAGTACATCTTCCGAGGAAGTCCCCATTATTGTGTGTAATTCCTGTTACATGTACGTCTGAGCTGCAAGTTCAACAACAAACTTTGAAAAGGATAAAGTTCTGCCTCTACAAAGACATTAAACTGGTACAATTCTGAGCTTCAGTGAAATCATAAACAAATCATCTATAGTATTTGGCTCCATCAGAATCACTAAACCTGCTAAAATTTATTTACTTTAACTTGGTAAGAAAATATATATTTTTGTTGTAATCTTAAATATTAGTTAAAATGAAATAATTATTGAGATGGATCTTGAAGAGTTTGTTGAATCACGTTTTTCAAACTTACAAATTTTGGAAACATTTCTATTAAAAAGGTTATGGATTACTGCAGGCCAAACATTATGCATTCAAAAATTCCAATTTAAATCTGGAAATTCTTAATTGTGATATAAAATACAAAATGTAATTTTCTCTTCCTTCATTGAAAATGTACGTAACTTTGTAAAGATCACACTACAAATATATATTTAAGATATCATCATTAAAAGTGGAGAACAATTTGAACAGTTACTAATATTTTAATTGGCAATATACTGATATTTATTTAAATTTTTAGACACATTTATGGACAGGAAGGACTACTGAAATATATTGAGTTGAATGTTTTGGATGAAAACTGAATTTTATAAGCTAAAATATTTTATAAAATATCTAGCTTTTTAAATTCATACATCATGTTCAACACAGAATATGTGCTATAAATTATTAGGCTAAAGCAACTACAACCAATTAAAAGAAATTATCTGAAGGTATAATTAATGTGAAGAGTCATTTGAGAATATGTGGTATTCATCTACACAAATATATATTTCTTTATGCTATAACCTGGGGATAAGAGGACACAAGTTTAAAATCTGATAGACAGGTCATGCTCCATATACAAGTTTAATTTTTCTAATTGGGTGATTGACTTATGAAATTAATTGCCATTGGCAGTGGTAGAGAATGACACTTTACTGTTTATAAAAGGAATCAACGATTACCTTAATAAGGTAAAGTGGGTTTCGATTTAAATTTCTCCCCAGTGTGGATGTACAAGGATAGCTATGAATGACAAAATTGTACCTTGTTTACTATATATATTAAATAATCAAGATAAAAAATAGCATAAAACTGCAAGTCATAAAATACCAAAGTATGATCTTTCTTTCTTATTCTGGCTAACTTTAAGTGTTATTAAAATTCTTTCATAATACAAACATACCAGCCTGAATACAAAGAACAAAATGTATATATATATATATATATATATATATATATATATATATAT